TCAATTGTCTACAATGACTTGAAACCAATACCCAAGAAGCTGACAGCATTAAACAACGGTGAAGTCGGTTTATTCGAGCAATACGCTGAAAATTTAAGCAGAAGAACTTTAATAAAATATTTTCGAAATGCCAGAAGTGACTTAACCTTGGGCAGTAGAATAATTATGTCAATTTATGACAAACTATAAAATCGGAAATCTAGCACATACACTATATGGAGTTTCGAACTCGAATATGCTTACGATAAGTCACACACAATCCATTTTTTCCATTGCGATCGAAATGACTCTGATCTCTGCAATTCTACAAAAAACAGTTCATTAATACTTGATATACTGACAGACTATAATTCATCGCTTGTATTGCCATTTCAATATACGCAAGAAATAGAGTAAAAATTCGTTTATCGGTTAACTACCAATTATCAATAGAACAGGATGATTGTAATTCCAACATTTCAACGTAATACCAGTACCAATAGTATTTAGCAACACTATAATATCCAGGCAAATGGAGTAGTGTTCATTATTAGCAACAAATTTACACACAGATACTTCGCTATATCAGCTATTCACATAAATATAGAATTTGGTTTTGACGATGGTACGACTGTTAAAGCAAGGCAATTAAGTTTAAGAGATAAATCTATTTGAGAGTTAGTACCTTTAGCTTGTAAGAATCAACTTTATTTATGTGAAAGAACTCATGGAAAACCAAAACTATTTGTAGCTAAGAACTCAAAAATCAATTTGGATTTTAATAATGGTCAACTATAGGATATTAAAATTTAGTTCTAGTTATGAATGCATAATCTATTATACAATCTATTAAAAATGTTATAAAAACTTTTAATCGACCCTTCTTAAAAAGTCCAGTGAAATATTTATTAAATATTATTATCATATTTAATAATTATTATTATATTTATGTATTGTTAAAAAAAACTGTTTTGAATAGTATTTACAACAAAACTACACATTATTTTACATCAAGTAATTTTTTGGCTGACCATATAGCTGATTCGAATATTGCATGCCTTCAACAATGGTTTCAACTTTTTCATATACTTATTAAACTAAATTTTTCGTACATAATTAAACAAATTTCTTATAGTTTCATAAATTTTAAACATCATTTAAGTTAAAATTATTATTTTTAACCTACAATTAAAAAAAAATAATAATCGCTTATTCCTTTAAGAACGACAACATGTTAAACCAAGTGATACATCACCTTTCCAGCGTTCGTATATAAAATACACATGGAAATATTACCAACATATCTAATAAACAGTCACGGTACTAATAGTTGGTCTTCTATGATCCATTCTCCTTTATATAATGCCACTGCTTCTTTACTTCTCTAACTAATTAAAGTCTCCGATAACGAGATATCTACTTCTTGCTGTAACTTCTTGAATTTTGATATATATCAAAAGAAAAGTTGTGCCACCTTTCAATTGTATAATAATTTTAATTTTGACAGAATGTGATCGGGTTTGATCAGAACCATTTAAAAAAGCTTGGTGTCCGTGGGTAATTAAAGACGGCACGTGGTAGTCTCCAACAAATAAAATCATTCCTTTTTTTGCTGTCTCAGAATTGGGTTTTCTTTAAACAATTAAATACCAAATATTGATTGCCCCTCTAAGAAGTTTGCGCACTAGAAAAGTTTACAGAAAATGCATAACACCACTAAAAATTGATACCCCTAACAGCCTCTAAATCTATCCAATTAACTCTAAACTCCTATTATTAACTCCTATCATTAATATAAAAAACAGCTTTTATTATTATAAAGTTAAACTACTTTTTTTGGGATATTTGGCTACGTTTGTTATTTATAATTATGCTAATATTAAATCACTCCGAAAATATAATATATATTTCGTGATAGTATAAATTATTTTATAACATTATTCTTTTAATATAAAACTTGCTATAGATACGCTTTAAGCCTATTGAGAAAATTATGTATAAAGTATTTGAGCAGTAATAAATTTACTGCAAAACCAATTATGAATATAAAATTGAATTTTCAGATTTTAATTTAAAATATTTTGCTTGCGTATAACTATAAAATCTGCATTACTTCTACATGACTGGTTAACACTTGCTAAATGCGTTGTTTCGGTACGAAGTCCATATTCACATGCGAGTACTCGTATAGAAAACACCCCAATGGAAAATCGAACTTAATTTGCTTTCAAGTTAAAACACTTTTACGTATTTTATACTAAGAAACCATTTTATATTCTTGTGCATCAAGTACATCAATAATTCACACCCTCCATCATAATCACAAAAAACCAGTCGCAATTTCAATTTTTTCCAAAATTAGATTCGGGTATGAAAATTAACAGCCCGACCTTACGATACACTACAATTTAAATACACTAACTTTAATCATTGGTCTGACTTTATGTACTCATATTCACATTTTTTAAGTACAGTATCCCTCGTACTTATAATTTAGTACGAGTAGTCGCATTTCTACTGGGAGTCTTCTCTAACTAAACTTTGGCAATATTTTCGTGCTCGACTGCAAATACGTACTATTTACGAAATTTGTCTCCAAAAGAAAAATATGTATGAAGGTGAAGAAGTGAGTGTCTGTTCCAAAGTCTACCCAGAGTAGACGCTGAATAACATTTAAAAAATTATTATTTTTTACCTTAAGGATTATACCTATAATCAATTTATAAATCACTTATTCACTCCTAAACTTTCGGTTTATTAAAAACTCGATTCATTAAATGCATAGTTAGGCATTGTAGACATCCTTTCTGGTATCGGCTCATCTTAACATTTAGTAACTAATAAAAAACGGTTGGATCTTGCCTATACTCCTAATTGCCTTAAATGGTTTTTGTAACAACAACTCCTAAAAACGAAACATTAGGGGTATTCAGAGGTTCTTCAGTAATCTATGAAGAACGATGTAAAGATGTAAAAATTGAAATGAAAAAAAATTTGTTGTACAAAAAATTCACAAACTGAAATAATGAAGTCAAATAATGAAAATATTCTTATTACTTAATGGACTGACTGACATAAAGGCCACATTATATGTTAAATGAAAATATCATTTTAAAATAAACTGGATATCCATATATGTCAACCATATAAATCAACGGACCACAAAATAAAAAAAATTAGACTTTATTGAATTCAATGCTATTATTAATATGATTCAATAATATAATGTGATTAAGCGCTATAAACTAGGGTCCCAGGTACGATCTCCATATCATGTGATATTTTTTACAAAATCGAATTTACAATACTCATTTGCTTAGTTTTAAATAAAGCAAACTTATATTACCAACCTGCAAAGTAGTGGAAAAATCATACACGCAACACGCAGCACATGCACTCGAATGAACAAATGAGTAAATGCTCAACTCAACTTAAACGTATAGTACACATTGCAGCCCAAAAAGAAACAATGAACATCAAATGAAACAATCTGTTATACGTTACATGTATTATGTCTTATGTCTTAAATATTATGTGTTATTATATTATATTATATTATATTATATTATATTTTATTATATTATATTATATTATATTATATTATATT